ATAATTATTTGGGGTAATAAACCAATAATAAATATTTGGAGTAGAGCTACGTGAGCTGTAAACGAGGACAGATTCGTTTGTCGCTTTGGATTTTCGGTATTAAAGCCGTGGAAGACACGCTTGAATAATGCGCGTGAGATTCATTTTTTTTACGCGATGCTTGGAGGTGTTGTGTTATTGGTCCAGCTGTGATTGGCGAACAGTGAGGCAAGGAATATTCGGGAAAATATACAGTCGCGTTACGGAACCATTCAATCGAGGTTTGTAACTATTAGATCATAATATAATCGTCGAGAATAGTTGATCCAATGATTACAAACATCGACGAAATAATTCCGTAATGGGATCGTAACATCTCCTGAAATATTCCATGGCGTATAGTACGTTATTTTCATCAGTTTATTACGATTTTAAATAAATAAATTTTTTATTTTCTGGTATTGTTTGTGATAAAACCTTTATCAAATTATTTTAGATTGAATTATTATTATTATTATTATTATTATTATTATTATTATTATTATTATTTTATTATTATTATTAACATAATTTAACTTATTAACTCTATTGTAATTTACACAATTGCATGTATTTTATATTTGTACAAAGAAATATATTGATAAAATGTAATCTAAGTGGAAACTTTAAGAAAGAGTGAACGGTTTTGAAGATGATTCTTAGAAGAAAAGAGAATAATAATAATAATAACCGAAGAACTCTTCTGCTCCCAAAATCCGAGCACATGCATCGCACAAATGATCGAAGAACTCTTCTGCCCCCAAAATCTGAGTAGATGCATTGCACAAATGACCGAAGAACTCTTCTGCTCCCAAAATCCGAGCAAATGCATCGCACAATGACCGAAGAACTCTTCTGCCCCCAAAATCTGAGCAGATGCATTGCACAAATGACCGAAGAACTCTTCTGATGCCAAAATCGAGCAGATGCATCGCACAAATTACCGAAGAACTCTTCTGCTCCCCAAAATCCGAGCAGATGCATCGCACAAATGACCGAAGAAGAGCAGATGCTCGGCCTTAAGTCGTCACACCATTTGAACAGCACCCGAACTCACAAGAGCTCGGCCTTAAGCCGTCACACCATTTGAATAGCACCCGAACTCACAAGAGCTCGACCTTAAGCGTCACACCATTTGAACAACACCCGAACTCACAAGAGCTCGGCCTTAAGCCGTCACACCATTTGAATAGCACCCGAACTCACAAGAGCTCGACCTTAAGTCGTCACACCATTTGAACAGCACCCGAACTCACAAGAGCTCGGCCGTAAGACATCACATTTGTTGTTCTTCTTTACGAGCTAGTCACACTTAGTTCATTCATCAGACTAAGACATATATGTTTCAGAAATAACTCCAAGTTATCCTTAATGCAACAACCAAATTTAATAACCAAAGCGTAAATGTTTCAAAAACAATTCAAAATAACAATCAAACTGGCAACAATACTTCTTGAGAGTAACAAGGCTTGAGAAAGACCTTACCCTCTGGATCCTTTAGCTCATAAACCCTTACAACCAACGCTTTCTAAAATACTTCTCTCCAAATGGTGCAACACATCCACTCCCTTACCTCATCCAGTGAGATCATCTCCGTTCTGGCCTCTTTGATCAAGCCCTCCCGCATAACTGTGCTCTCGTCTCTGTCTTTCCTCTTATTACCCGCCTTCAACACTGTTTGGTAACAGGTCCTAGCCAACCGTTGGTCCCCCG